CATGAAGCAAAAGAATAAAGTGGAACAAGAACTTCTATCTTCTATTTCTCTCTCCTTTTAACTTCTCCGTGTCCCTAAATAAAAGAGACAGATGATCACGCTGCAGCCGCCGTCACTCACCCCGCTCCCTCCCCAAGACCAGACCTCCCGACATCACAGCATTCGGTCTGACTGAGCGCTTCCAGGAGAAAAACTAATGAAATTATGAAAATAATAATGCGTGTTTGGAGGAGCGTCCTCCGATCCTCTCTTGTGTGAGCAGACAATCTCCCGACCCACTCTCTCTATCTCAGTCGCTGATTGAGTGAGCGGAGCGCGCCACGTGACAACCCGCTCAATTAACATAATTTACGGCCCAAATCCAACAGAACTGGTCGGGCTGATTCGATTCGGGTTCGGTCTCAGGTTACAACTCCAGCGCTCAGCCCTGCAGTACCACATATAGGCAGATCAAAGTTTCCTAACCGGTAAATGTTTTGGCATCGACATCATGCTAGCGCGCAACGTTCTGTGACTCTTAAAAAAACAGTAAAAACGGTGAGAAACGCTGGCAGCGAAGGCCGTTAGTGATCAGGAAACGGCTGGCAGTGAATGAGTTAAAAAAGAATATATATATATATATATATATATATATATATATATATACATATATATATAACAGCAAATGGTGAACATAATAACAGTAAACATCTTAGGTGTGTTCTTGCTGTGTCTTTGTAAATCCATGCTTTCGTTCTTTTTTAAACACAGAAACAGTTTTGTTTACCTGTTTGTAGCTACGGTTTCGCCGACAGCTGCCGGCTTCTTCAGGCTGACGCTGATGGTGGCGCGTCACTTCCTTCTCCGTTTATCTGCGGGCAGCAGAGGACGTTGTCGCCCTCTACTGCCCGCTCTCCCCTCTCCGACGATGCAGTCCCATGCGTGGTCCAGCGTGTAAACTCCGTCGTCCCTGTTCATGGTCCCACATCCACGTCTCCTTATCTCCATTGCTTCCTTGATCCATCTTTTGTATTTTTGTTGTTCAGTGGTTATGATCCGTGTGCTGTCCCAGTCCATTATATGGTTTTCTCTTAAGCAATGTTCTGTTACGGCTGACTTTTTTATTGTACTTTCTGCTTCTTCTTTTGCTGCTCTTGTGTGTTTACGATTTGCCTCTTTCTCGCACTCCTTTCTGTGTTCTATTGTCCGTGTATTGAGTTGGCGTCCGGTTTCTCCTATGTATGTTTTATTGCATATTTTGCATGGGATTTCGTAGATGACTCCACATTTATGTCCAGCTGGTATCTTGTCTTTTGGGTGTACTAGTCTGTTTCTAACTGTTGTGTATGGCTTTGTTGGTGTGTTTATGTTGTGTTTTTTCATTGTTGCTCTTATTTTTTCCGTTATGCCTCTGATGTATGGTAGGGTTATCACTGGTTTTGGTTCTTGTCTTTCTGGGTTTCTGGTTCTTTTTTTGGGTTGTTCTTTGCTTTCTGTTTTTGTTTGTTGTTTTCCTTTGTTTATTGCCCATGTCGGGTATCTGTAGGTCTTTAAAGCGTGTTGTATGTGTTTGTCCTCTTGTTTACGGTCTCTCTCTTCTGTTATTATGTTTGCTCGGTGATATAATGTTCTGATTACTGACATTTTGTGTATGGTGGGGTGTTCTGATGTCCATAATAAATATTGGTCTGTGTGTGTTGGTTTCCTGTATGTGTTTATGTTTAGGGTCCCGTCGGTCTGCCTGGTGATTTTCATGTCCATAAATGCTATGCTGCCTTCTGTTTCTAACTCATAAGTGAATTTTATGTTGCCCGTGTCGTCAATATTGTTTAAGTGTTGTGTTAGTGTTTCTGTTTGACCTTTTGGTATGATTTCCAGTATGTCATCTATGTAGCGTTTCCATAGTTTTATTTTGCAGTTTGGGGGGGCGGTGGCTATGGCTTTTTGTTCCAGGTCTTCCATGAAAAACTCGCACAGGGTGGCTGATAACGGGTTACCCATGGCGAAGCCTTCCAGTTGTTTGTATATTGTGTTGTCGTATGTGAAGTAAGTGGAGTTAGCTACCAGTCCTATCAGTTGTGCTATGTCATCTGCTGTGAGGTTTGTCCTTTTATGTAAAGTTTTGTCTTGTCTGATTCTGTTAACTACTATGTCTATGGTTTTTTGGGTTGGTGTTTTTGTGAACAGAGATGTGACGTCATGTGAGATGAGTATGTCGTTGTCTTCTATTGTAATTTCCTTTAGTTCTTTTGCCAATTCTATACTATTTTTGCAGTGTTGGTCTGTATTTCCTAATAACGGGCTGATGATTCTGCTGATATCTTTTGCCATGTTGTATGTTGGTGTACCTATGCTGTCAACTATTGGTCTAAGTGGGGTGTTTTGTTTATGTATTTTTGGTGTTCCATACATTCTTGGTGTTATGTTTGCTGTGGGAATCCAGTGTTTGTACATTTTTTCTGTTATTTTGCCTTTTTCGTGCAGTGGCTTCAGTAATTTTTTCATGTTTTTCTTAATGTTTTCTGTTGGATCTTTTTTAAGTATTTCATATGTATTTTTGTCTTCTAGCATCTGTTTCATCTGTTGTTTATATTTTTCTCTGTCCATAACTACTGTGGTTCTTCCTTTATCTGCCGGTAGAATAATTATCTGTTCATTTTTGGATAAAGCTGTCATGGCTGATTGTTCTTCTTTTGTAATATTGCTGTGTTGAATTTGGCTGTTTTTTAATATCCCAACTACGTTATTTCTGAGTTCTGCTTTCTTTCCCTCATCTGTGATCTGTTGACATGCTAGTTCTGTTGCTACAATAAATTCATCATATGGTATTTCTTTTGGTGTGACTGCAAAGTTTAAACCTTTCTTTAATACGCTCTCTTCTGCTTCTGTTAGTTTGTATTGTGAAATGTTACATACCCATGAGTTTGGTGTGGAGTTGCCTTGTATTTCTCCCCTCTTTCTTGTTTATGAGTCTGTTTAACTTCTTTATGTGTCTTTCTTTCACTTTTATGAACTCTTGTTCCTGTTTTTCCATCATGTGTCCTTTAATTAGTTCCTCCATTTGTTTATCAAGTTTGTAATTCCTTTTCAAGTCCAGGTGTCCTCTTTCCAGTTCGTCCTCCACACGCCTCTGTTTGGTTATGACGTTCCTTATCCTCTCCTTGAGCAGTGCTCTCTGTGCTCTTTCTATTATAATTTGTGCTGTCTGGGTCCGGATCGATGTTTTCAGCTGTAGGCTTGTGGGTGTGATGTTTTCGTCCCGGCATCTTAAACAGAAGCGAAGGTGGTTTCTTAGACGTGCGCGTTTCTGGTGTAATCGTTCCAAACGGCGGATGTCCTTCGTTCCTTGTTGTCCGTATTTCTCTTTGAACATACATAGGAGAAACCGGACGCCAACTCAATACACGGACAATAGAACACAGAAAGGAGTGCGAGAAAGAGGCAAATCGTAAACACACAAGAGCAGCAAAAGAAGAAGCAGAAAGTACAATAAAAAAGTCAGCCGTAACAGATCATTGCTTAAGAGAAAACCATATAATGGACTGGGACAGCACACGGATCATAACCACTGAACAACAAAAATACAAAAGATGGATCAAGGAAGCAACAGAGATAAGGAGACGTGGATGTGGGACCATGAACAGGGACGACGGAGTTTACACGCTGGACCACGCATGGGACTGCATCGTCGGAGAGGGGAGAGCGGGCAGTAGAGGGCGACAACGTCCTCTGCTGCCCGCAGATAAACGGAGAAGGAAGTGACGCGCCACCATCAGCGTCAGCCTGAAGAAGCCGGCAGCTGTCGGCGAAACCGTAGCTACAAACAGGTAAACAAAACTGTTTCTGTGTTTAAAAAAGAACGAAAGCATGGATAATAACAGTAAAACGATGTGTTTTAGCTCTGTTGTCTGGCTAGAGATACGTGTTCATGAAGGAAAGGCCTTGCTTCCAGCTGTAATCCGGGGTATATAGGGTGCATTTTTCAACCTCTAAATGGTGCCTTCTGACAGAAAAAGAAAAAAAAATCCTGATTTTTGCTTTAAAATGTGCAGTGTGGAAGAATAAAGCAAGATTTTTATAGTGAAATTATTCCAAAAGAGACTAATGTCTCAATCGTGTTGGAAGGAATGCTATACTGAAACCTATTTCATTCTCAGTCAGCTGTGGGGGTTGTCAGTTTTCTCATTTCAAAGTAAAGGACAGAGTTACTGTTTACCATCAGTGAGTGTGAGGTTGCCATGTCTCCTGTGAGCCAACGCTGCAGCGCTAGCATTTGTAATTCGACTACAGTCGGCAAAAAGCTACAGAATTGTTTAAGGTTTAACATATCTGATTCTTTCTTTAGATGTTCTCAGTAAAAATCTGTGAATTTTTAAGCTGTAATTTAAATCCTTATTTGTCTTTAAAGCCTGTCAATGGTTTCAAAGAGAGTTTATTTAGCTCAGAGATTAAAACTATCTGTTGAAGGTCCCTGTAGGCAAATCTGTGGGATGGCAAAGTCCAGAAAACATTATTATTGATTTATGCAATCTGTTGATCTCCTCTGGACTCACCCACTGACATGTGCTTCTTATAGATGTTACTCCAAACGCATAAATCTGACATGATTTGGTCTAAATATTGAAAGTGGTTTTTCCAACAATAAAATATGTATTAAAATATACTCAGACAGCACTGATCCTAATAAATGGGTACAGTTACAGATTTTATTTCTCAAGACAAAACTGATCTGTTCCAAATCTTAGACTTCTTCTGCATCTTTTGGTTGAGACTTTGGATAAAGTTTATGCTGAATGTAATCTGAAATCTCCAAATGGATTGAAAAAACTATAAGAACATTTGAAACAATAGAAATTTCTGGTTTCATATTTGCAGAATAAACTGCAAACAGACAAAATTAAATAAATTAAAAGGTTTTTCCTCAACAAGATGTTTAAAAACAGAAGTTTATGACATAATGTCTATGTTTACACAATGAGAATTGTTTCTCCGTGTAAGATAAAGACTGTGTAAACACTCACACTCGGAGTCTGGTAAAGTTACCACCTGGATAATACAGGTAACAGGAAGGAAAGTCAGTCACTCCCAGCTTTGTCACCAGGCTTGTCTCAGAATCCAGGACTCGTCTCACAGCTATGTTCTCAAACTGTAACAGGTCCAGGGTCACCTGATGTGCAGTGTGCATGAAAAAAGAACAAAGATCATTTTACATTTAAGCATGCAGTTTTTTTATATATATATTCTGACACGCAGCATAACACACAGTTATTGTAGTTATTTAGAATCAACAACAAAGGTTTGGTGGATCATTGGAACAAAAACAGTTCTTTTGTTAAGACAGCTGGATGACAGAATGAGCAGTTACCTCACGGCCGATGTAAGAGTTAGCATTTTCAAAGATCAAGGCCAGGTGCAGAGCACTGTTGGTTTCAAAGAAGACATCGACCTCTGCTTGGCTGCAAGGAGACAAGAACAGTGTGAATATATTTGACAAGAGTTTAATATCTATCTTTAAAACTTCATCCATACGGTTTATCCTAAAACAATCCACTAAAATATTACATCTAAAAAAAGCTATTTTGAATGTAATTAAATACCCTGCTGCTGGTTGTTTTAAAGGGGAAAGCAATAATACAACCTTGACTTCCTGTTTCACCTTCCTGCTGAACAATCCTGATATTCTGCCTTTGTATTTATGTGCAGCGACTTCCACTAAGAGCTGAGTGACCTCGTATTTACAATAAACCAGTTGTAGGAGCCAATATTGTTTTGGTTTACATTATATTATGGTCTAAATTCGTTTTGATAATGTCTCATATATTTCAGTTTATTGCACTATGGTTTATATTTCTTTTGACCACTGGTGGCACTGTGGAGCCTATATAGGTGTCAGGGTGGCAGTGCACTGGCGTTTTTGGGTGACGGGAGGTCACACGGGTTTTACCGCTGTACTTGGTTTCATTCCAACCCTAATTTGCCATTGTAATTTTCATCATTTTCATAACCTAGACAAGGTATCGCTATTCTGGAACATGCATTATTGTGATTGTCGACATCTTCAATAAATGGGATAATAAACCCAAACCCGCTTGCCGCCTGGGCAATAAGTGTTGAAGCGAGCCATTGCCTCCACCCGCACCCAAGAGTGACTAAAGGTGGGACTTGATAGTCACTACACCAGTCTTTTCTGAAACCTTTTACCTGATTGGACTAAAGAACCTTATATTTTCAGCGATCTAATGCTTACTGTAGTCCTGCAGGCTGAACGGTCTGATCATAGATAAATGAGTCATCACTGCTCTCTTCCTGTTGTTTTGCAATGATTCTGTTGCTAAATGCTTTTATCCCAGCAGCAATAAAATTTAACTAAATCTTGAGAAAAGAGGATTTTGACACAAATAAATGTGTTAAGAGTATTTGTTGGATTTGCCTGTAACAGCTGTTCAAAGGGAAAACAAACACAACAGCTAATTATTTTATCCTTGATATAATGTGTTTGTGTTCAAGTTCATATCAGATCATTACTAACTTCAAACACTGACAAAAATAAACCAATGACAGTAGAACCTGATGGGCTCCAGGGGGGGGCAGGCGGGGGGCCATGGATCCTTATTGCCTTCAAGACTGTCAATGGTCTTGTGACGAAGGTCTGGAACATCACGGATATTAGCTGGAAATAAAAAGGAAGTGAACTTCAGAGGAAACATTTTCCAATCTTACTCTTTTCAAGATAGCTTAGTGAATGGCCTTAGTTAGGAGAAATTCAGATCAGTTCGGACCATACAGATGAGTCATGGTTAGTCACAGTGGGGTCATTAACAAAGTGGAATAATGCCAACTTAAAACAACACCAAAGAGTGTTTAACACTTTAAGCTACGACGGAGGCAGAGGAGTTAAGTGCCTATCTTGTAACTGGAGGGTTGTGGGATTGAGTCCCGCTTAGTCTGTCACAGTTGTTGTGTCTCTGGGCAAGACACTTCACTTGCCTTGCCTGCTGGTGGTGGTCAGAGGGACTGGTGGCGCCACTGTTCCACAGTCTCACTTCTGTCAGTGTGTCCCAGGGCAGCTGTGGCTACACTGTAGCTCATCACCATCAACATGTGAATGTGTGTGTGCATGGGTGAATGACTGATTGTGTTGTGAAGAACTTTGGGGGGGTTGTACAACCCTAGAAGACACTACAAATACAGGCCTTATCATTTATTACTCCTGTAAAAGTGGGTTCCAGTGATCCTTCAGGCAGAAATGTTACCATCTTCAGATTGCACAGCATTCTGCATCCCTCTGCTGACCAGAAACCACACTTAACAGACGAGTGGGACGAACAGGTTCACTAGGTGGAGCTCTCCACCTGCCTAACTGCTGATAGCTGTTTACTCTGCTGAAAAAAAGGCTAGCAGTTAGCTTCTCAGTTTGGTGACTGTCAATAAAAAGCACAAGAAAAAGAAAGAAATTAGCTTTTTTGTTGGCATCAAGGCAGAGCCTGGAAGTAAAAGTAGAGGCGATCGTGCCTTTGCTGCGGTGGCTCCCAGGTTGTGGATACCTCTACGATTTTTTATTAGACAGCCTACGTCATTTGCTAATTTTATAGACTTCTTTATATTCTCTTTTACCTCCAGTTAATATATGGATATGTATGTTCTCTTTGACCAGGCTTAAAACATTTTTTTGATAGGACCTATGATTAACATCTGATGTTAGCCCAGATGTGGACAAGTGGGGGAGAAGAGGGAGGTGGAGTGTACAGTCGGTAAAGATGGCTCTCCCTTGCCCTGCCACCAACATGCCTCCATCTTATGGGCCATTCCTATCTGTACCGGGTCGGCCCGGGCCGGGTAGCCCCAGTCGGCCCCAGCCTGGCCCGGTTGATGTTACACATCCTTGCCTTAAGCCCATGTGGGCTGATTCTACCCACCAATCAGAGGCTTGCTCTAATGGAAGGTGTGAATTTGCTGTCAGCAGTGGGTGTGTTGGCCCTGGTCGGCCTGAAGCAGACCCCCTCAAGAAGAGGGCTGAGAATGAGCCTTGGTTGGCCCGGAAAAATACCAGGCCACCCAGATATGTAAACAACCTACGCTACCCGGCCCGGGTCGACCCGGTACAGATGGGAATGGCCCATAAAAGGCTAGGTTATCCAGAGTTATCTCTGTAGTTATGCTGCTATGGGCTTAGACTGCTGGAGGACATACTGACCACTTTCCACACCCAACTACTTTCTTCTACAATTTGCTCTTTAACTGTATTACTTCCTGCTATTTCAGCTGTTAACTTTATTTTTTTCTCTGTTTTTCTCTCCAGAAGAAGCTACAATGATGTTCTGCTGAGCTGTGGTGCCCTCATGGAGGGGGCCATCGACTTGAACACTGTTGCTAACCACTTAAACATTCTCCATCCATCCATCCATTTTCATTCGCTTATCTGGAGTCAGGTCGCGGGGCAGTAGCCTAAGGTGAGAGGCCCAGACTTCCCTCTCCCCAGCCACTTGGGCCAGCTCCTCCGGGGAAATCCCAAGGCATTCCCTGGCCAGGTGAGAGACATAGTCCCTCCACCGTGTCCAGGGTCTACCTTTAAGTCTCCTCCCGGTTGGATGTGCCCGGAAAACCTCACCAGGGAGGCATCCAGGAGGCATCCTGACCAGATGCCCAAGCCACCTCAACTGGCGTTTCTCGATGTGGAGAAGCAGCGGGTCTACTCCGAGCCCCTCCCGAATGACCGAGCTTCTCACCCTCTAAGGGAGAGCCCAGCTACTCTTCGGTGAAAAATCATTTCGGCCGCTTGTATCTGCAATCTCTTTCTTTCGGTCACTACCCAAAGCTCAGGACCATAGGTGAGGGTAGGAACGTAGATCGACTGGTAAATCAAGTGCTTCGCCTTCTGACTCAGCTCTCTCTTCTCCACGACAGACCAGTACAACGCCCACATCACTGCAGATGCAGCACCAATCCGCCTATCAATCTCACGCTCCAGTTTTCCCTCACTCGTGAACAAGACCCCGAGATACTTAAGCTTGATTTATGCTTGACGCATTTACTTTCCGCACGGTGATGCGGCTCGCGGATAGAACGCGCTTCACAACTCGCAGCGTTTATGGTTTGTGCGGCTCGTCTCTGCGGTGAGCCAATATTCTCCCAAACTGAACGGGGCATCATGGAGCTCTACGGCATGCATCCAACACTACACCATAGTAGAAGTAGAAATTCCTGTTTACAACGTGGCATTTCAGCATTTTTAACCGCGTCCTCGTCTTTTCCGACAGTGGGAGCTATTTCTCTCCAAGAATTATTAACAACATGTTGATCACGGTGATCTCTGAGAGCTGAATCATACAAATGTCTGTATTTACGAACCTCTGCCATACTAGTTCTTGCCGGTCCGCCATGTTTTTCCGCGTCCGTCCGTCCGCGTGGTTAGAAATTTTCCGAGGTGCGCGTTGCGGAAATCTTGGGCCGTGCGGAGACGCGGTGGAGGGGCGTGGTTGTTAAAATGACGCAAAATGACGCAATTTTTCCGCGCGGAGCCGTGCGGACCTCGCGGACGCGTCAAGCATTAACCAACCTTTAAACTCCTCCACTTGGGGCAGGACCTCATCCCTGACCCGGAGAAGGCATTCTACCCTTTTCCGAATCAAGTCCATGGTCTCAGATTTAGAGGAGCTGATTCTCATCCCAGCTGCTTCTGACTTGGCTGTGAACCGCTCCAGCGAAAGCTGAAGATCATGTTCTGATGAAGCCAACAGGACCACATCATCTGCAAAAAGCAGAGACCTGATCCTCAGGCCACCAAAACGGATGCCCTCCACACCTTGGCTGCGCCTAGAAATCCTATCCATAAAGGTTATGAACAGAATCTGTGACAAAGGGCAGCCTTGGCAGAGTCCAACTCTCACTGGGAACGAGCCCGACTTACTGCCGGCAATGCGGACCAAGCTCTGACACCGGTCATACAGGGACCTAACAGCCCGTATCAGAGGGCCTGGTACCTCATACTCCTGGAGTGCCCCCCACAGGGCCACCCGAGGGACGCGGTCAAACGCCTTCTCCAAATCCACAAAACACATGTAGACTGGTTGGGTAATTTCCCACGCACCCTCCAGGATCCCCCTAAGGGTATAGAGCTGGTCCAGTGTTCCACAGCCAGGACGAAAACCACATTGCTCCTCCAGAATCTGAGGTTCAACAATCCGACGGACCCTCCTCTCCAGAACCCCTGAATAGACCTTACCAGGAAGGCTCAGGAGTGTGATCCCCCTGTAGTTGGAACACACCCTGCGGTCCCCCTTTTTAAATAAGGGGACCACCACCCCGTTCTGCCAGTCCAGTGGGACTGCCCCCGATGTCAACGCGATATTGCAGAGCCGCGTCAGCCAACACAGCCCCACAACATCCAGAGCCTTAAGGAACTCTGGTCGGATCTCATCCACCCCCGGAGCCTTGCCACAGAGGAGCTTTTGAACCACTTCAGTGACCTCAGCACCAGAGATTTGAGAGGCCAACCCAAAGTCCCCAGACTCTGCTTCCTCACTGGAAGACATGTTGGTGGGATTGAGGAGGTCTTCGAAGTATTCTGCCCACCGATCCACAACTTCCTGAGTCGAGGTCAGCAGCACACCGTCCCCACTATAGATAGTGTTGGTAGCACACTGCTTTCACCCCTGAGGTGCCGGATGGTGGACCAGAATCTCCTCGAAGCCAAACGGAAGTCTTGCTCCATGGTCTCACCAAACTCCTCCCATGCCCGGGTTTTTGCCTTGGCGACCACCCGAGCCGCGTTCCGCTTGGACTGCCGGTACCCGTCAGCTGCCTCTGGAGTCCCACAGGCCAAAAAGACCTGATAGGACTCTATTCAGCTTGACAGCATCTCTAACCGTCGGTGTCCACCAGCGGGTTCAGGGGTTGCCACCACAACAGGCACCGACGATCCTGCAACCACAGCTCCGGTCGGCCGCCTCAACAATGGAGGCACGGAACAGGGTCCATTCAGACTCAATGTACCCCGCCTCCCCCGGAACATTTTGGAAGTTCTGTCGGAGGTGAGAATTGAAGCTCCTTCTGACAGGAGACTCTGCCAGACGTTCCCAGCAGACCCTCGCGATAACATTTTACTTTCTTTGACATTGAATGTGCTACTACTAGTTTACCTGTTTAATTATAGATTCACTAGGATAAATACACTAAATTTTATCTCTCACCAAATAGAATATTTACTAAGAAATCGCAATGTGGCCATAGAAGCATTACTTGGTATATATATGTTGTGTGTGTGTGTGTGTGTGTGTGTGTGTGTGTGTGTGTGTGTGTGTGTGTGTGTGTGTGTGTGTGTGTGTGTGTGTGTGTGTGTGTGTGTGTGTGTGTGTGTGTGTGTGTGTGTGTGTGTGTGTGTGTGTGTGCAGATGTGTGTGTGTGTGCGTGTGTCTGCTCTGTCTTGTTGATCCCAGTAAGTCGTGGCGGATGGCTGCTTATACTGAGCCAGGATCCTCTGGAGGTTTCTTCCTGTTAAAAGGGAGTTTTCCTCTCCACTGTTGCTAAATGCTTGCTTAGTATGAGGATTGCTGTAAAGTCATGGACACTAGTCAGTGACTCGATGCAATCTGCTGAGTTCTTTATAAAAGAAACTTTTTCTGATTGGCTTAATGAACTGACCTGTACCGGAATGTTTATTATGTGAAGTGC